TTTATGTTATGCAAACAAAAATGCAGTCGCGGGAAGTGACTACTTGAACTACTCCTCGACAGGTGGCACTAGCAATCAAGAAGATTTAAAAACATTGCAAATCGTAAACTGTAAGTACCAAAATAAACGTCCTTGGTTTTAAAATATGTTTGACGTTTGTATTTTTACTTATCCAATACAATTTCAAAGAAAATAATAAATTGAAGTAATGAGAGTAAAATACTAGTTAAAACCGAGATCTAAGTATTGGACTAAATAGCGTGATTATCAAAAGAGGGTTCAATTTGGTCCTACATCGGATGCCTACGTCATAGCATCAGTAGTTTCGGTTGTGCGTTGATAGATCACTATGTCATTCACTCACCTTTGAGTATTTAGAAATTAGTGATATTGGTAAAAATTCTACTTACGAGGTTTTAACTCGTCAACGTCAAAATTCTTTATCCCACTCGCACGAGGTCCGGCCCGCCTCGTCCGAGGTATCCGGCTGATTTCCCCGCGGATACACTAATGCCATCTAGAGGCGCAACTTCATCGGTATTTCCCTCAGGCCACAATAATCCGGTTGCATTTTTGGTTTTGGATAACTTTTTGTTTGTGGAATAACAATTAGTGGATGTTACTAATGCTTTATCATTATTATTACAGATGTTAACCCTATCTAGTGGTGATATCAACAGCACTTATCTAATAACTTTAAGAGTTTTAACATAAGTAGGTACCTACACTACCTATTAATTATTCTGTGGTTTTAGACTAAATAAAGTAAAGAACGAAAGCCTGAAACTTAAGGAATTTCTAGAGTGAAGAGCAAGCACTGTGACAATCATGTCGCATGTTCATATCAAAAAAAAAAAATAGGATTATTCCAAATTGATGAAGACGTTTTTTCTTTCAGCGATTTTGAAAAAAATGATTTATTTTTTCAAATTTTGACACATAGTACATCGCAGTGCTTAGAAAAGTCGAGCTACATCGTCTCAGATTCCAGTACTTACGACAGCAGATCAGTGTCAGACTATAGGTACATTTTATCGCCTTTATTATGTACTAGACCAATGGTTCCCAAAGTTGTCAGGGCTACGACTTATCTAATACAAGTTCAGTCAAGTTCTCAAACTCGGGACCCACCTATAGAAAATTTTACCGTTACCAATAATTATGCCTAAATATGCGTTCGCGACCCATAGTTCGTGACTTTTGATAGTTTTCGAGTTATGAAAACATCAGGCATGTAACTTGACTATTCGCGCCACAGTGACCAAAAAAGTGCCTAAGCACAGAAATTTAAAACAATCATAACTCGAAAACTATCAAAAATCACGGAACATACTTACATGGGGGGTGATTTAGATAGCCTTAATGATGCTCTACTTCTGGGCTTCGGCTTGACACTACTTTTTGGGACAGCCTGTATAGTACACAAAAACTGTGTCAAAATGTTCGAAGTACTTAAAACATCTTTTACCCTTCGCTTCGCGTACAAACGCTGTACGCACTATTTCCGCCGGCACATTACGCGCCCCATAAAACACTTTTAAAAGCTCGTTACTGGCTAGACATTGCTCTAATAAAAAGCACTTAGGTATTTCCGAGCGGAATGTACTCACATCGCGTGTAAATATAATGGAAATAACAATGATAGTGGAATCAAACTTTAGTTCACCCGATGGCGCCAAACCACAGGCCATACTTAGCTACTTACTTACCTATTTTCCTGGAGAAAGAGACCATGCATGAGACGCTAAGTTTCTGTCTTGTAAAGCTTTCTAAAGAAGGAAGAAGAAACAGAGAAAAAAATTAGATCATTTAATTTTTAGCGTTAAAAGTCGAACTAATTTGAACATTATAAATAACTTGAAAAAATCGAATTGCCTAAGGCGGGAATTGAATCCACGACCTTCCGCTTATCGGGCGACTGCTCTTCCAACTGAGCTACTTTTGTCCGTTTTCACCATTAATCCCTAATTTTTATATGACCCTTATGGTAACACATAACAGGAATTTTGTTTTCATAGGGGTCACTTAAAAATTGGGGATTGATGGTGAAAACGGGCACTAGACACTGCAATTCCCGCCTTAGGCAGTTCGATTTTTTCAAGATTTATAATTTTCAAATTGAGACTAGGCTTCCGAGGTGTGTGAATTTTGATGTTGGTTGTAGAGATTGAAACAGGAAGAAGGTTTTGAGGCAGACCAATTTACAGACTTCAGATATATAATTTTAAAATCACACAATTCAATTGTCATGGTGTGGTAAAGTAGTAAAAATATTAAGTTAAAGAATCGAGTAGTATCCGAGATTAACTTAAATAATTAACGTATCGAAATGTTTCAATTCATCCTGGGATATTTAATTCTAGACAACTTTTCTGGGCCAGATCTACGTATACTTTATTAATATTATAAATGCGAAAGTAACTCTGTCTGCCTGTCTTCCTTTCACGGCGAAACCACTAAGCCGATTTTGATGAAATTTGTCACAGAAATAGAGATAGTTTTCATCCCGGTTTTCGAAACAGGGACGCGCGCGATATAGTTTTTCTGTGACAGACAAAATCCCACGCGGGCAAAGCCGCGGGCGGAAAGCCAGTTCTGTATAAATACAGAAAGAAGTTTTTTATACTGATATTTTACCAGCTCAACTTAACGAATTCCTTACTGGTTGCGGCACTTTGCTGAAGAACAAAGAAAGTCTTTACAAATAAGAATGTATTGTTTCCTTTCAATTTAACTCAACTTGGAAGGCTTTGAACTCTGAAGAATTATTAAAGAGGTGGGGCGTGTACGTTACAATTTGTTCTTGTGTAATGATAATGATAAAAAACGAAATTCAATCGTTTCAGCCAAATGACGTCAACTGCTGGACAAAAGCCTCCCCCAAAGCTTTTCACATTGAACGGTCCAGCGCTGCCCGCATCCAGGCTCTTCCCGCGACCTTTATTAGGTCGTCGGTCCACCTAGTAGGAGGCCTGCCCACGCTACGTCTTCCAGCCCGCGGTCGCCACTCTAGAACCTTTCTGCCCCAAATTCAATATCACCACTATATCTTTTTCTTCATAATTTACTGTGGTTTTATTGGCACGTAATGATTATCATCATTTTGTAATGCAAAAACCACTATGGTTACTGAGAATCATTAGTTTTTTTTATCTTATAGTAGTAAAAGAGCAATGCATGTAATGCATGGGCAGATGCGAGTGCCTTGCAAGAGCAAGAATGGGGTCATAAGGTAGGTACTTATTTATTACTTTTGTGTCTAAATATCAATTGAAAACATCCTGAATGCCTGTATGACTAAAGCACAGTAAAAAGGTAAATAAAATCAGGAACTAAAAAAAATATTACATACAAAGTCCATTTTTCTTGAACGTTTACTCTGATATGATACGCTACGACTACGACTTATCTCCATTAATCATGTGACTGGCAGAAAATGTCTGGCTTTACGCTTAATCCGTAATATTACCAATACCTACAATTTATCAAGTTACAACGTTATGTTCACCTGATATCCCAAACACAATAAATAAACTACGAACATGAAATGGACCATTTCTATATGCAGTGAGACAAATCTATATCTATAAAAGTGAAAGGTCACTGACTGACTGACTGACTCACTCATGACGAAATCTGAGTGCCAAAGGACAGTGCCAATCCATGTATGGAAGTTGGACCAAGTGCTGCCCAGAATGAAACTATAGTGCATTTTGTTCCTCAGGCCAATACTAATTTGTAAACCGGAGCGCACTGAAATCTATCCCTGGAGTTAAGAGAAAAAAGTTTTGTTTGGAATTATTTACATACAAAATACCTATTATCGATGTATACCTACTACGCATAAGATTTGGCGATTTTGGCATTAAATAACACTCGTAATGTTGAACTTAACCATACTACATCCGTACACTTTAGTACGACTTCGACATTATTTATAAGCGATCAAGCGCTGTTGCAGTAGTTTGGTTAGTAGACCGAAATTAATTATTTCCAAAATGCAAGTGCGCTTCGGTTTACACATTAGTATTGGCCTGAGGAACAAAATGCACTATGGGTTGATTCTGGGCAGCACTTGGTCCAGACCCTGGCACTATCCTTTCGCATGGGGGTTCCTTTTAGAACGCAGGTGCTCACTAAGACTGGATTTTGCAAAATTCAGCTCCTAGAGGGTAAAAGGGGGATATACTAATAAAATTGATTACCTGTCTCAATTTTAATAACTTCAGTTCTGATGAATAATCGGTTGTTTGATTTTTAAGAGTAATGTTAAGAAAAAGACAAGAGTGCAAAACTTTTCTAGCTGCCAAAAGTTTTTAATTTTGTTAATTTACTACTAAAAATGTTAGTATGTCAGAATAAATTTTTGTATTTAGCTGCTCTTGCTTAGTTTTGAGATGATTTAGTAGCTTAACTGTAAAAGTTACTCTGTTACTTCCAAGATTTTGAGTATTTTAATACTTTTTGCGGTAAATAAAATTCGTAGGTTTATGTACAAGTAAAAACAAGTTTTAGAGTTATTACAGTCGTAAACTAAATTTTCCCAACTGGAAATGTATGTGTATGATGAGATAAAAATACCATAAACTTTTTATTATTTTATAGTTTAAAACAAACTAGTAAAGAACAACATGAATCATGTAGCAAATATTGTATTTTCTATTTTAATAACTATATTTTTCGTAAACTCTTCAGCTCAAAATAGTACTAGCATTCTTGAAAGTGCAAAAATTAATGACATTGCTAAAGCACTAATAAAAGTACTTGGAGTAAATCCAGATTTAAGTAATTTGACACGAATAGAAGAATTAAAGGAAAAACTAAAGAAAATCGATAATTATGCGATTGATAAAGATAAATACGCTCTTTTACTCACCAATGTGACAATGGAAACCACTTTGAATGAAACTAATTTCTTCAAATCACTATACGAAGACGATAGTTTGAAATTTCTACAAAATACAGAATCGAAAAATTTGTTTTTGAAACTGAAAGAAAAAATGAACAGAGACGACATTCTAAAGATTATCGCTGAAAGAGGGCAAGATAAGAAAATAGTGAAATCAGCAAGGAAAGCGATGGGAGAAGATTACTTCGGATCAAATAAAGCTGAAGCTATTTTAGATGATGTTGTTGATAAACTACTAAGCGAAACTCCGCGAGATAAACACAAGTTCAACATGAATGCTAATGATAGCAAGTACTGGGGTAAGTTTTTGAATAATTTTACAACAGTATAATCAATCAAATCACTCTGGTGAATTAAAATTGTCTCTACGTTTAAAATAGCAGCCAGAAATAGCCAATATAATACAATACACAAATTCGAAATACCCAGTAGTCGATGAGTCAACAGCTAATACTCGTAGTTATTTAGCCTCTAATTGTCAGTGTTGCTAGTTACACAGTAGTGGGCAACATATTTTGTTTTGAGGCTGTAGGCAGTAAGCAATTTGCTAGATATTAATGATCGTCACCGTTAACGAAACGCAACGCAATCTTGGATAGGTAAATCCATGCATTAAAAGAGAGATGCATTGGATTATCGAGAGCTAATGCTAATGGATGTTAAACTCCAATTTCCTTTACATTTTCGTGGACTCATGGCCTTCTTTCTGCTTGAAATGGTCTCGTGGGCTGCTGATGAACTGTATCTTCCTTCCCAGACCCTCAAGGGGAGCTAGAAGACCTCCAAGAGTACCATCGCCATGACGGCCGGCGTATCTTCAAGGGGGAGCGGACTACCGTCAGATACTACCCATTCATGGTGTCGGTGCACGTGATGGGCCGCTTTTGGTGCGGCGGTGTGCTTTACTGGCATGACTTGGTGCTGACGTCTGCCGCTTGCTTGCAGTTGTAAGTGATCACATAAAGCGTGACTTTATAAGCAGTATCCATTTTTTTTCATACGCTTTAAAGAACAATTTTACTATTATTTTATTTCAATTATTTTTAATCGTGGTGTTTTTGCGAATAATTATTATCGCGAACAATTATGTCTATTACGTATTACGTCTACTTATTTTTCTATGAAAGAAGAAAATTATCCATGTGTACGCATTAACTGCGCGCTGCGGATAAAAATAACTAAATATAAAAAAACTATCAAATTACTGATTCTGAGTCACTCCTAAGGACACAGTTGCAAAGTCACCCTGTATTGTTTAGGAAAATATGATGGAAGGCACCTGGTAGTCCAGTCTACCAGTCCAGTCCAGTCCTGGTAGTCAACTAGATAATGAATTGGAAGAAATCTTGTTGGAATTATTATATGCATGGATATGGATAATCTCGAAAAATGATTTTGATACTTGACTCTGCCTCGAATAGAATCGAATCCATTACTTTCGCTTACTGGGCGAGTTCTCTGACTATTGAGCTACGGATGTGGTAATCCTGTAAAAGCTTTTATGTGCATTTTATACTGTAATCCAGCGTCCTTTTACGCACGTATTCACAAACGATGCTTGCTTAGGTGAAACAGCAAATGGAACGCACAGCATTGAATTGAATAGATCTATGTGATTGTTTTGTGTATCACCCTGTGCGTCCATGCGCACTGTGAAACCTCATAGTAATGTTTGTGAATACGGGCGTTAAAAAAAATAGTGAAAGTGTGCAAGTCAGTAGTCAAATTGGACGCCTGGCAATCAAAAGGCAGTAGGTTCAAGTCCTACCAAAGGCAGTTGCCTTTTTCTGTTAAAGTCATGTTCGTTTATATGAAATCTTTTCCCAGGATGCATAACAACCGCTTCTTCCGCGAAAACCCAAGAGTGCTGCAAGTGAGGATCGGCAGCAATCACAGCAGGATCGGCGGAGAGATGGTTGATGCGTTGGAGGTACAAACAGGCCTGTTCATCTCCGCGAGTTTACATCGAAAACAAAACACGCACAATGGCCCACCTACAGGATACTATACGACAAGGCCTCACATACGAGCGAACATTGACTCACGCACGCGTATTCTTGTGTATGATGGAAGAAAATTTCCTCCGCCATTTTCCGCAGTTTGGCACCTCACGTCACATCATTTTACCGAAGTCAGCCCTATAGCTTCGGCGCAGTGCCGATCAGNGCTAGTTTACTACTAAAAATGTTAGTATGTCAGAATAAATTTTTGTATTTAGCTGCTCTTGCTTAGTTTTGAGATGATTTAGTAGCTTAACTGTAAAAGTTACTCTGTTACTTCCAAGATTTTGAGTATTTTAATACTTTTTGCGGTAAATAAAATTCGTAGGTTTATGTACAAGTAAAAACAAGTTTTAGAGTTATTACAGTCGTAAACTAAATTTTCCCAACTGGAAATGTATGTGTATGATGAGATAAAAATACCATAAACTTTTTATTATTTTATAGTTTAAAACAAACTAGTAAAGAACGACATGAATCATGTAGCAAATATTGTATTTTCTATTTTAATAATTATATTTTTCGTAAGCTCTTCAGCTCAAAATAGTACTAGCATTCTTGAAAGTGCAAAAATTAATGACATTGCTAAAGCACTAATAAAAGTACTTGGAGTAAATCCAGATGTAAGTAATTTGACAAGAATAGAAGAATTAAAGGAAAAACTGAAGAAAATCGATAATTATGCGATTGATAAAGATAAATACGCTCTTCTACTCACCAATGTGACAATGGAAACCACTTTGAATGAAACGAATTTCTTCAAATCACTATACGAAGACGACAGTTTGAAATTTCTACAAAATACAGAATCGAAAAATTTGTTTTTGAAACTGAAAGAAAAAATGAACAGAGACGACATTCTAAAGATTGTAGCTGAAAGAGGGCAAGATAAGAAAATAGTGAAATCAGCAAGGAAAGCGATGGGAGAAGATTACTTCGGATCAAATAAAGCTGAAGCTATTTTAGATGATGTTGTTGATAAACTACTAAGCGAAACTCCGCGAGATAAACACAAGTTCAATATGAATGCTAATGATAGCAAGTACTGGGGTAAGTTTTTGAATAATTTTAACAACAGTATAATCAATTCAATCATTAAAGTGAGTTAAAATTGTTTCTACTTTTAAAATAGCAGCCAGAAATAGCCAATAATAATACAACACACATAGTCGAAACACAGTAGTCATGATTGAATGGCTAATATTCGTAGTTATTGTGTGTTATTATTTAGCCTTTAATTGTCAGTGTTGCTCGTTACCCAGTAGTGGGCAACATATTTTGTTTTGGGGTTGTAGGCAGTAAGTTAAGTAGTTTGCCAGATATGAATGACCATCACCGTTAACGCAACACAAAGCAATCTTGGATAGGGAAATCCATGTATTGAAAGAGAGCTGCATTGGATTATCGAGAGTTAATGCTGATGGATGTTAAACCCCAATTTCCTTTAGATGTTCGTAGACTTATGGCCTTCTTACTGCTTGAAATGGGCTCGTGGCTGCTGATGAACTGTAACTTCCTTCTCAGACCCTCAAGGCGAGCTAGAAGATCTCCAAGAGTACCACCGGCACGACGGCCGACGCATCTTCAAGGGGGAGCGCACCACCGTCAGATACTACCCATTCATGGTGTCGGTGCACGTCATGGGTCGCTTCTGGTGCGGCGGCGTGTTGTACTGGCACGATCTGGTGCTGACCTCTGCTGCTTGCTTGCAGTTGTAAGTGATCATCATCATCATCATCATCAGCTCATTTTTATCCTCCACTGCAGGACGTTGTAAGTGATGGTTCTGTATACAATGTAATGGAAAGCACTTAGAAGTCAAGGTCAAGTGTAACCACTAGAAGGTGACTTAGAAGAAATCTGGTTGGAAAATTTGCATGGATTTATGGATAATCACGAAAAATGATTTTAAAACTTGACTCTCCCTCAAATAGGACTGAATCCATTACTTTCGCTTACCGGGCGAGTGCTCTGACTATTGAGCTACGGACGTGGTAATCCTGTAAAAGCTTTTAAGTGAATTTCACGCTTTAATCCAGTGTCCTTTTAAAAAGATGAGAAAGTGTACGAGTCCGCAGATCAGTGGTCAAATCGGATCTGGCAAGCAAAAGGCAGTAGATTCAAGTCCTACCTAAGGCAGTTGCCTTTTTCTGTTAAAGTCTTAATTGTTTATATGAAATCTTTTCCCAGGATGCATAACAACCGCTTCTTCCGCGAAAACCCAAGAGTGCTGCAAGTGAGGATCGGCAGCAATCACAGCAGGATCGGCGGAGAGATGGTTGATGCGTTGGAGGTACAAACAGGCCTGTTCATCTCCGCGAGTTTACATCGAAAACAAAACACGCACGATGGCCCACCTACAGGATACTATACGACAAGGCCTCACATACGAGCGAACATTGACTCACGCACGCGTATTCTTGTGTATGTTGGAAGAAAATTTCCTCCGCCATTTTCCGCAGTTTGGCACCTCACGTCACATCATTTTATCGAAGTCAGCCCTATAGCTTCGGCGCAGTGCCGATCACTGACGTTTGTCAACAAAATGGTGCTTGACTCTTGAGACATGCTAAATTACACCATATTGTTAATACACAACCTCCCCGTCTGAAGGCCAGCGGCCGACTGCCGCCCGCACCCCGCGAAGGCCCCCTCAACAGCAAAACGTTCGGAATTTATCAAAAGTAAAATTTATGAATGAAAGTAATGTTCGATTGAAAAACACAACGTGTCATTTAAAGATTAAAAAATTCTTAATCTATTCGTGCAAAAATCTTTAAAATTAACATAGCCGTTTGGGAGGAGTAGGGAATTGAAGTAAAAAATCGATGTCCCGTATTTATTTTTTTAATCCACAACAAAGAGACGTAGGAAAAATTCAAACGTGTCAAATGTAGTCCTAGAACTGTTGTATAACATATATTTTTTTCAACTATTTCTGTCCAGCAGTATAAGAGGAGTAGGCTTTACAAAATGACCATTTCACGCGGATTGAGGACACTAATCGCCTTAAGGTACATGGTAGCAATCCCGTCAGTAATAATAATTTTGTGTTTCCATTGTCATAAAAAACCCGACCGGGAATCAAACCTGGGAGCTATATGTCGGCGAGCTTTCGCATCGCAGGCCAATCGAGTCGTCAAATATTTATCGTTTTGACTGTATCAGAAGTTTAAAACTTCGTATTCTTAATACCGATATAGTCAATTCTAGAGTTAGTAACAAGTTTAATTTATGTCACATTTCGTTATTCGAGTCACGTAGGGCTTGGATCTAGGCTGAATCCAAGATAGATCTCTGATGTCATTAATCTCTTGGGCAAGATATATTTCAGAGGTCGTTTCTCAGTTGAAAAACAGGACTTCGATGTAAGACGTGATAAAATAATGTATAAGAAAGGAGATACAAGAACCCGTGGATAACGTAGCTTTTTGGTCAAAAGGTCAGCGTTTTTAAAACCTCAAAAATGACCGGCTGCATCAAAAGACGTCTATTTTAAAAACTATTCCAAACTAGTGTTCGATGAAAGCGTCGCTTCTCCAACAATCTGCTACACTGAATGAGCCCCTTGACCCAGTGGATCGCCCGCGGCGGGGTCAAAGGTTCGTTGATGGCGCTTGTGATCTGTCCCTTTTTTTTTATGCCCGAGCACGATAAAATTGCACGAAAGCAGAATATCTGTGGAGGATAACCCTCTTAGTGGAAACCTAATTAGTGTAATAAAAAATATTTGTTTGGAGTAAAAATTCCAGCATCATCCAATTTTTAATAATTTAATGAACTTGTGTTAATAATAAAAATAGTAAAAAGAAATTTCGTTCTAAAGTAGCCTTTGAAAATTTTATAAGTTTTTGCTCTATCAGCTAGCTGAAAGTGAGCTTTGGGATAGTTAACTAGTAGGTATGTAAAGTTTTTGTCAACGAAAAAAGCTGTATATTTTTTTCATATTCATGAGAGTGGCACAGTTGAGATCAATCAAATTAAAACATGAAAACAACCAGTAAAAAACAGCAACAAATCTTGTATATTTGCAAAGATCGATTTTTCATTTCCAAACATCATGCACCATTTTTAACTAAACGAGTTTGATAAATGAGANCCGCGGGGTCAAAGGTTCGTTGATGGCGCTTGTGATCTGTCCCTTCTTTATGCCCGAGCACGATAAAATTGCACGAAAGCAGAATATCTGTGGAGGATAACCCACTTAGTGGAAACCTAATTAGTGTAATAAAAATATTTGTTTGGAGTAAAAATTCCAGCATCATCAAAGTAATAATAATGAATTTGTGTTTAAAATAAAAATAGTAAATAGATGTTTCGTTCTAAAGTAGCCTTTGAAAATCTTATAGAGCAAATTTTAATGCTCTATCAGCCATCTAAAAGTGAGCTTTGGGATAGGTAAGTAGTAGGTACATATGTAAAATTGTTGTCTACGAAAAAAGCTGTATAATGGTTTCATTGTCATGAGAGTGGCAGTTGAGATCAATCACATTAAAACATGAAAACAACCAGTAAAAAACAGCAACAAATCTTGTATATTTTCAAAGATCGATTTTTCATTTTCAAAAATCATGCACCATTTTTAACCTAAACGAATTTGATAGATTATGGAANAAATGAGAGAGCAAAGTTTGTTCTAAATCAAATCACAGAAATCAAAACAACAGCCAATAAAATAAATATCGAAGAAGCGAACAAAGATAAATTGATTTGGAAGTCTTTCAAGTGAGATCTCAAGGCTAAAAGCGGCAATCAGCGATTCTTTCAATAAACGCAATCTGGGGACGTGACGGGCCATTTATTTTCAAATTCTATCAATATTTAAAATTGAAATGAAATTATTCAATTAGAAAGAAGGTAAAAAAATTAAATGTTTATTAATTTTGGATTTAACGGTTCAAAAATGGAGTAAATGTAAACAAAAGTACACTAATTCGATAATATAATAATTTATTTTAGGTGCCTTCAAAATACGTGTGGGTATTTACTTATTATATTATGCGTGTTCCATCTAAGAACTCATCATTACATTATCATGCAATTTATCAAAGTTTTTACCAAGTTCAGTGCCAAAAAATAGCCCAACAGTGTTAGGCTGAGTTGCACCATCTTACTTTAACTTTGACAAACGTCAAAAATCTGTCAAACTCCATACAAAGAGCACCGGTTATTGTAATTGTTACGGTTAAAATAAGGTGGTGCAACTCAGCCTTAGTATCGAACTGCTGATTCGAGATTCGAGGATGGTTCGATCCCTGTCGACCGCTGGCCTTTTGTAGTCAGCCCACTCAATTGCCTTATTACCCAGCTTACTAATGCATTAACAGCTATTTCCAATCACATTTTTTCTCCCAACTCAGGTTTATTTCCACCCCGGCTACAACCCTCGGACTTTGCGCAACAACATCGCCGTGATCCGGCTCCGAAGGCACCTGCACTTCAACTACCATCGGATCCCAAAGATCATCGCCATCTCCGACAGCCCCTACACCGTGGCGCCCACTGCTGAGGTCTTGCTGTTGGGATGGGGCGTCACTAAGGTACGGTTACTTCAGGTTCTTGTAGATACAGACAATGGCACATCAAGCCACGATAAATATCTGTGAACAACGACCACGACCCTCTAAAATTTACCAGAAGCAAATGAAGCACTTCGTGGCGCTAACTTCTGAGATCTTGCTGCTGTTGGGATAGGGTGTCACTAAGGTACAGTTACGGGCTATCGAAGAGTAAAAGTTGAGCCAATAATGAGACGTCAAGTTAAGAACTGTGGCACCTTCAAGAATAACTAAGAAGAACACCTGAACTTCTGTCTCTCTCTGAATATCCATCTTTCTCAGCACGTACACCGTGGCACCCATTGCTGAGGTCTTGCTGCTGGAATGGAGTGCCACTAAGGTACATTTACTGCAGGCTCTTGAAGATTATGTGGCATTGTCATCACCACGTAATTTGCTTAGAGTCTACGGCAGAAGCACAACCCTCTCAAAACCAGAGGCAAATGAAGGACACCTGAACTTCAACTACTACAACCGGATCCCCAAGATCATCTCCATCTCGGAATGCCCTTACACCGTGGCGCCCACTGCTGAGATCTTGCTGCTGGGATGGGGTGTCACTAAGGTTAGTCACTTATTAGTCACGCCAGTTAAGGGTTCTCGAAGAGTAGACGTCAAGCTAAGAACTGTGGCATCTTCATCAATATCATCATCTACTGCAGAAACAGTAAACAAGAGGCAAATTAAGAACACCTGAACTTCTGTCTCTCTCTGAATATCCATCTTTCTCAGCACGTACACCGTGGCGCCTAGTGCCCACTGTTGAGGTCTTGCTGCTGGGATGGGGTATTACTAAGGTACAGTAACCATTCTTGAAGATACAGACAATGGCACATCAAGCTAAGATCTGCGGTGTCTTCCAAATAACCATCACCAGGTCATTTACGAGTCTACTGCAGACCCACTCAAATTTAGCAGAGGCAAATGAAGGACACCAAGGTACAAAATTACTAGGCCATATCTATAAGATAAGGTTTATAAACGATAGATAAAGTGCCAAACTAAGTAAAGGCATCTTCATCACCGTCATCAGGTCATACAATTAGAGTCTGTAAAAACCTGTTTGCTTAAGTAACCAGAACTGGCTGTACATACATTCTATATTTTGATAGCTATATTTGATTAAGACTTTTATACTGTTTATTTATATCTGTCACTTCACTTCTCTCACTAAAAATACACGGTCTATCTCTCATCACTCTCTTATTTTTCTTCAAATCTTAATTCTATCAGCACTCTGCACTTCTACTAGTTCCTAGAGTTCCTAGAGAGTCTACTGCAGAAAAACGATCCTCTCAAATTCACCAAGTGCAAATGGAGGATTTGGCCTACGTTTGTCAGACTGGTTGATGAAATCGAATGTTCACATATCAAAACATTAAATTGTAATGATTAGTATAATTGGATTGTTGACATTGTTATGATTTTATCAAATGACTTTTCATAAGATTATTAATATTTTGACATGTTCTCCTAATTAACTTTCACATGCCAGTCATGGCAAGGTACACTGTAACGAAATTGATTATTTACAAACATCTAATGGACGTGTATTTCTGTGAATAAATGAATTTGAATTTGAATTTGAAAAACTTGTCACTTAATTACCTTTTGCCCCATCGGATCGACCAAAATTCACGCAAGTATCTACATCCACGGTTAGAAGCTAGATATTAATATTATAATTTACTTTAGAAGTCATCCTCTAGTGAATAACTAAAGGACGGAGTTCCTCATTTGCTCCGAAACTTGCACATTACCGACCACTTACCATTAAAGTGACGGAGTGAGTTTTAAATTTAAGATCCTCTTCAAATTTGCAGTTGACGACTTTTTAATGGTATTATAATCCTGAAAATTTAATACCATTTAGCTAAGCACTTCCACTGTGATGTCAGCCTGTGAACAATGTTAAAGATGTGACATTTTTGAAAAATTCAAGAAGCCACAAGACGCCCACTGCTGAACTTTCCACATGGATTGGTAGCGGCCTGCATCCAGCGCCTTTCTGCTACCTTTATGAGGTCGTCGGTTCACCTACACTGATAACCATAAAATTTAAAAATCTATCAAACTATATATTAAAATAAGATTTAAAACGTCACGTGTAAATGCCGTTTTCCGCGTCTGTCTAAAGTCTAGCCTCAGCCGCTAAAGTGGTTTCCGTTGTTCCAGATGTCACAGAAAATGTCTTACGAGCCAGTGTACCTTCAGCGGAAGTTCTTACCGGTGTATCCTAATACGTTCTGCAAGGAGGTGTATGGCGAGTGAGTATTGTGTGTTCAGTTATTAAATGCTTTCAAATTCAGGGGAATCTGAAAGTATGATAGATTGCATCTCACTTAACATCAGTCGCAAATTCCAGTCAAATACCTGCTTTGTGCTAAGTAAAAAAAGTTACGATGGACTAAAATCGGCTTAAGAACATGATTTTTGTCACCAGGGCAGGGAAGCGCCATTGACATGATTTCAGAAATGACATGTTTTCATCAAAGCGAAGAGGAGAGAAGACGAAAGGAGTCTTGTTTTGAATACTCATCAGATTTTCGAACCAAAGCTGAACGAAGAAGAGATTTAGAAATAAGGAAATCTGATTGGTTATTCAAAACACATTTCCTCTCATCTCCTCACTTCTCCGCTTTGGTGAAAAGCGGGCCTCACGTCAAGGCCATGTCACTTTAACCAGTAACCGTGTAGCCATTCGGTCTATACTACAGGATTTAACAAGATACATGCGTTTTATTCGGCAAACAATACTTTTAATCCGGTCGCGCGTTCCCGAGGGATTCTTCCTTGTTATTTCTTTTGATTGAAAGTTTTTCCTCTCCCGTTCAATTCTTAAGGAATATAGGTACATACAAAAATGAATGAATAGGGAATGTAACATCGTGAGTACCGGAATCACGTAATATTGAAGTTTCAACTTACTTCAGAGTAATTTATTAAAACCACCGATATAAAGATTGGTTTGAAAGTTTGTACACGTACCTAAACAGTAACGATGTATAATAGCGTCATAGTTGCTTACATTACCGCAGTAAAACTTCTAAAAAAGTTAAGTTTAAGCAATTTCAAAGATTCTGTTTCATCAATTTTTTTGTTTTCAGCAAATTCATAACTCAAACCATGTTCTGTGCCGGCACGTTTACTACCGGAGAAGGAGCGTGTGATGTAAGTACATTTTCATATTATTTTCAAAACAGAACCAACTATAATAACCCTAGAGTAGTCGCGCCTTTCCGTGGAACGGGAGTGCTCGCGTAGGGAGAATAGGGATGATGACTGGGTAATGAAATCGAAATTCTATTTAGTCCGTCAGACAGATAATAAAAAAATTTTGGACTCATATTTTATTTTTCATAATCTAATAATTACAGTATTAAATTGAGTTGAAATGTCGCGTGACGTCACTTTTGAGTAAAAAATCTACTCAAGCGTGACGTAACGCGCCATTTCAACTCGATGTAGCACTGTCATTATTTAATTATGAAAAAAAATAAAAAATATGAGTCTAATAAGTATTTTCTAATTATCTGTCTGAAGGACAAATAATTGAAATTTTGTCGTCTAGCCTATTTTAGGGATAATATCAATTAGGAACAAGATTACCTTTTATAACTCTTTTTCTGTCGTACAAAATACTATCTTCCCTTTGTATCTAGAAAATTAAAGAGGGTCAAGCTCCTGAAGTGGAAACTAAATGACCTGATGATGACAACATTATAATTAAAAGTTACTAGCGGCCGCCCGCGACTCCGTAGCCTGGATTCCATTCTACCGCCTTATGAGTTGAATTCTGCAAAATCCTGTCTTAGTGAGCACCTACGTTCTAAAAGGAAACCCCATGAAAAATTTGAGACTCCTAGCACTTGTAATTTCTGAGATATCATGATGAGTCAATCTGTCAGTGTACCTTTCGCTTTTATACGCTCGTATGTAGATACTTGAGCATAATGTTTATTAGAATATTCTAGCACTTTAGACCTCTTATGCCTGTTTTCACCATCAATCCCTAATTTTTAAGTGACCCCTATGAAAACAAAATGTATGTTATGTATTACCATAGGCGTCACTTAAAAATTAGGGATTGATGGTGAAAACGGGCATTAGTATAATATAAATATCAAAGTATTTAGGCATTTGGAAACAAATACCTTTACAAATATTTAACAGCATCTTCAAAGCAAAAACACGAAACAATCCTAAAGATATCAAACAGAACTTTAGAAGTAACACCAGAATCATAAGAATAATAAATTACATTCGTAATTTAGTTTTAAAAGCTACTTAGAAAGCAATCCGCAGCTTGGTACACAAAGATTTATGCATGGTGTCATTGTGATTAAAACACAGCCGCTGATTACGTAGGTGGTTTTAAGAATTTATAAGTCCCACGGCTAGGCATGACTGCGCATAAATGTTTAAATTCTTATGATAAGATGTTCTTTCATTTTAACGAATGGCTCTATTTCTATTACCTACTCTCAAATCTTAGATAATGTGTTCTGTAAAGAAATAACTACCTCTGTCGTGTCTAACCTACTCCTAAATTTTTAGTAACTTAATTATTAATACTCAGTACAATATAAAAGTTACAAAGATTGTGTAACTAACATCTTCATCTGTTCTGCTCTGAATATCCTTATCCACAATTCTTTCAAAGATAAAAGAAACATAACGACTCAGAGAAAAATAATTAGAAACAGCGTTTTTTATGTTAATTAAAATGAAGGCCACGTTTATTATTCATAATTTCGACTAATTTTTTCGTAATGTTACGGTAGGGACTCAAAATGTACTTGTATTTTTAATTACAAACATATGTTTTGAAGCTTCCACCGTGATTTAAAGTGGTAGAGACATTCTTAAACGGTAAAATCAGTTTCTTCGGTCCACCTTGTGAGGACGTCTCACGCTGCGTTTTCCGGTACGTGGCTTCCACTCCAGAACCTTGCTGCCCCATCGGCCGTATAAAGGTAGCAGGAAGGCGCTGGATGCAGGCTGCTATCAACCGAGTGATGTGGAAATCATTTTTTTTTTAATCCACAACGAGGAAGCTCTTGGCCTGTATCTCACCTGATGGTAAGTGACGATCAGGCCGAAGGTGGAAGCGAGCTTCACCCGGAATCCTCAACCACGGAGGAACTGGCTATCTTACCTCTAACTGCCGGAACACAACTGTTGCTGGCAGTTTGGCCAGCAATCATCTTTTGATAATAAAATTGTTTATGGTTTTTTACTTTTTTTAATATTGTCTTAGATTTTGAAGTTGCTTTTACTGACTCTCGTGTTCTAGTGTAAATGTCTTGAGCAATATACTGTTTTGGCCCTGTTTTGGAGTGTTTCCTTGCTTCTAGCATAATATCACCACCGGCAGGCCTATCTCTACATACAGTCCACTCCACCATTTTTAACAACAACAATGCAAACAAACAAACAATTGGGGGAGGTCTATGTTCAGCAGCGGACGTCCTGTGGCTGAAATGATGATGATGTAGATTTGCCTTTTATATTCGATTTCTAGCACGACGCAGGCGGGCCAGCGATCCTAGCTGGTAAACTAGTGGGAATCATCTCCTTCGGGCCATCGGTGTGCGGGTACCCTAATGCACCCACTGTATTCACGCTGGTCGGCGCCTTTTCTGATTGGATAGAGACTGTCAATGAGACCGTAAGTTTTGATGATATTTCACTTGCTTATACGCGAAAAACTATAATTCAAGTTAGAAAAAGTTATAGAAAAACGCCTATAAGTTACTGTGCAATTTACATCAATATATCAATATTAAAAGTGACTGAATTGAAGACTTTGGGAGGCATGTTTGCATAAAAATATTTAATTAATAAATCTTAGAGCTACCAATCGATCAACATGAAAAGTCTATGTTCAGCAGTGGACGTTCTATGGCTCAAATTATGATGATGAAATCTTACAGCCACAAGATCACATTTAATTTTCATGACTATGAGGTTCAAATCAACATGCAAGAGTTGTAATTTTATAATTGCCATGAATTCACGATATATCGTATTAAGCAAGCCAATATGGCTTTAGAAATTGAGTCATATTAAAAATGCATCCAAAATAATCCTAAGTAAAGTTTTAACAAAATTAAATGTACTAATTTAAAACAATTTTAGTGATTGTAAAGATTTAATTTTTTATCATCAGATGCCAGACTACTACCGCGCAAGAGCCCGGTCCACGACCACAACCAGGAGGCCCATCTTCGAATACCTGGGCACCATATTCAACACTCCTCCCCCCACCGAGGCACAGGGAATCGAGATCCACCCGCTAAAGTTGATCACCTTAGAAGCCACGCCACCTACCGTACCCACCGAGGTGACCACTGATTATGTCGAGGAGGAAACCACCGAGCCTCCAGGGTTGAGGTTCTTGAAGGATCAGTTCAGTGACGCAGACTCTTGGGGTGATAAGAAATAAAGGTTTGTTGTTTTACTTGATTGTTTTAATAAATTGAAGTCTCCCCAAAATTTAATAATAATCAGAATTTCTATTTAGGGGTGAAACTTGATGTTGCAAAACCCAGTCTAAACTAAAAGAGAACACATTTGTTCCTTTCTGTTTTATAAACTCGTCAAATAAAAAATCTAGAAAGTCATTTCTGATCGTAAAACGGAAAAAAATCTGAAGAAGATTGGAAGATTTTCTGATCGTAAAACTAATTCAGCTAACTGNTTCCACCCTGTATATGCTCTAATATAAATATCAAAGTATTTAGGCATTACAAACAAATACCTTTACAAATATTTAGCGGCATCTTCAAAGCAAAAACACGAAACAGTCCCAAGATATCAAACCGAACTTTAGCAGTAACGCCAGAATCAGCAAGAATAATAAATTACATTCGTAATTTTGTTTTAGAAGCCACTTAGAAAGCAATTAGCATTAGGATTCTGTCCACAGCTAGGTACACGAGGATTTATGCATGGTGTCATGGTGATTAAAACTCAGCCACTGATTATGTATTATTGTGGTTTTAAGAATTCATAAGTCCCACGGCTAGGCATGACTGCGCATAAATGTTTAAATTCTTATGATAATGTTCTTTCATTTTAACGAATGGCATGGATGGAATATAATAATATGTATAACTACTACTGTCCTAATCTAACGTACTCCTCTTAAATCTTAGTCTAACTAATTCTGTAACATAAAAGCAAAATAAATTGTCCTTTAAAAGCTAGCTTAAAATTATTTTTATTGATTTAATGAAAAAGATTCACTAATTTAAACAGTAGGAATGTTTCATAATGTTTTAATTTGAGACCTCCGCAAAAATTATAAGTGATTGTTAATACTTAGTAAAATACAATAATTACAAAGATTAAAGTCTACTATAAAAACATCTACGAGTACATTTGTTCTGCTCTGAATATCCTTATCCACAATTCTTTCAAAGATAAAAGAAACATAACGACTTAGAGAAAAACAATTAGAAACAGCGTTTTTTATGTTAATTAAAATGAAGGCCACGTTTATTATTCATAATTTCGACTAATTTTTTCGTAATGTTACGGTAGGGACTCAAAATGTACTTGTATTTTTAATTACAAACAATTGTTTTGAAGCTTCCACCGTGATTTAAAGTGGTAGAGACATTCTTAAACGGTAAAATCAGTTTCTTCGGTCCACCTTGTGAGGACGTCTCACGCTGCGTTTTCTGGTACGTGGCCTCCACTCCAGAACCTTGCTGCCCCATCGGCCGTATAAAGGTAGCAGGAAGGCGCTGGATGCAGGCCGCTATCAACCGAGTGATGTGGAAATCACCCAGAAAGTGGGCCTTTTCAAGGCGAGAGTGAATAGGCACTTACAGGGCAGAATGTACCATCCTAGACATCTCATTTAATATTAGGTGCGATTGCGGTCAAATACCTGCCTTGTCTTGCTTAAAAAATCATTGGGGGAGGTCTATGTTCAGCAGTGAGCGTCCTGTGGCTGAAATGATGATGATGTAGATTTTTAGCCTTATGCCCGTTTTCACCATCAAACCCTAATTTTTAAGTGACCCCTATGGTAACAAATAACAGGAATTTTGTCTACATAGGGGTCACTTTAAAATTAAGGATTGATGGTGAAAACAGGCATTAGTCTTTTATATTCGATTTCTAGCACGACGCAGGCGGGCCAGCGATCCTAGCTGGTAAACTAGTGGGCATCATCTCCTTCGGGCCATCGGTGTGCGGGTACCCTAACGCCCCCACGGTATTCACACTGGTCGGCGCCTTTTCTGACTGGATTGAGACTGTCAATGAGACCGTAAGTTTTGATGATACTTAACTTGCTAAAGCGGGAAAATTTATCTTTCAAGGTAAGTAAGAAAAGGTTATAGAAAAACGCCTATGAGTTACAGTGCAATTTACATCAATTTGGGAGGCATGTTTGCAGCCACAAGATCACATTTAATTTTCATGACTATGAGGTTCAACATGCAAGAAGTTGTTATTTTATAACTGCCCTGAAACCATTCACAAGATATCGTAATTAGCAAGCCAATAAAGCTTGAAAAATTTAGTCATATTATAATAGCTTTTAAAAAGCTACAACAAGTGTGTAATTACAACCAAAATTTTGAAGTGAAGTTTTAACAAATGTACCAATTTAAAGCAGTTTTAGGGGTAGTAAAATTTAAGCAAAGTGTAAACTTTTACTTTTTTATCATCAGATGCCAGACTACTACCGCGCAAGAGCCCGGTCCACGACCACAACCAGGAGGCCTATCTTTGAATACCTGGGCACCATATTCAACACTCCTCCCCCCACCGAGGCACAGGGAATCGAGATCCGGCCGCTAAAGTTGATCACCTTAGAAGCCACGCCACCTACCGTACCCACCGAGGTGACCACTGAATATGTCGAGGAGGAAACCACCGAGCCTCCAGGGTTGAGGTTCTTGAAGGATCAGTTCAGTGACGCAGACTCTTGGGGTGATAAGAAATAAAGGTTTGTTGTTTTACTTGACTGTTTTAATAAATTAAAGTCTCCCCGTAAAATAATAATAAAATCAGAATTTCTCCTCAGTGTAGGTAAATCTTGATGTTGCAACATGGGTGTCTGTCTAAGCTGAAATATTTAGTTAACAGAACGCATTTCTTTCTTTCTGTTTTCTAACTCGTAAATACATAACGCTCCTTCTGATGCAGTCTGGTAAAACATATACTACCTACACGACGTAATAAAAATGTAGAAAGTCATATTGTAAGTAAGCGTAAAACAGAATTAAAATTGACACATTTGCAGAGAGAAGTAGTGTGGAGGGGAACCTTATAATTTCAGGTTACTAGTTCAGCTAACTGAAACTTAGGCTTCACTTGTTCTGACTAGTCAATGCTGTCATATCACTATGACTCTCTATGGCAACATTGGCCGCTCGCCAGATATCAATTAGGGAGCATCAAGTGACCGCTGTTTAGACGTGGTTTAGGGTGTCCTAGTTCAGCCCAAACTAATTACCAATATCATTGACTAATGTAGGTATCGATCACATGAAACATGTGATACTGAAAATATTAACAAACACTTTGGAATTGATGCCTTATTTAACTTGCTAAAGCGAATTTGCTTGCATCTATTGAACCTACACCGTTTTGCTTGCTTGATAACTATATTTACTGAACTTTGATAGCCTTAGGACAAAATTTAAAAAAATCTTATCAAATATTGCCTCTAAGAATCATAAAGTTCCTGCTCTAATATTAATGAAACGTTGAAATCATAATACGCATAGGATTTGACAATGAACTAACAAACCTTATCAGCGCAACAGGTGGCGACCAATCAAAGGGTCTCCCAAGGCACATCACTGGGCCCGCTACTTTGAATGTTCGTTAAAACACTTCCGCCCCCAATTTGTAGTAACGCGGAGGCTTTTACGGAAGTAGCTCGTTATCCGGGAGTTGGCGATTCTCTTATCTCGGCTTAATCTTTGTTCGGGGCGGAATTACCCTCATATACAAAGCTGGAGTAACAGACACGTTGATGGCCGGATTTTCACTTAAGCCTTCTGACAAACTTTTTAGGTGCTTTTTGTTCAGACGACGGCTTGTCTGACGATGTGCTTCTAATAGGTGCGATTTTGCGATAAAAAGTTAATAGCTGATGTACTGACAACTATAGTGCGAGGCAGACAACTAGGACAGAGTTAAAAGCGATTCAATTCAAGAAAACTACATATAAAATGAATTTTGAATCATTCTAATGATTGCCAATCAAATTGTCCTGTCGTACGATAATTATTTACAGCAGAATTAAATGGTGATAAAATACATTTCGGTAAGTAAATGTCATTTTCTGGTGATAGCTAGAAACTGGACAACTTATTTTGTGTATTGTGTGGAAATTAAACTCGGCCACTTTGACCAGAAAACAGTGGATGGAAACATCTCTTTCAAATCAAAAGGTATTTACAATGCCATACAGAATAAGATTATGAAACAACATTCACAAAGAAACCGAATTACTCAGAGTCGGAGGCAACTTTCCTAATTCATTTAAAGCCTTCCCTCCATTCTAAAGACATAAATTTCTTTAATTAACGCAAGGATATCTTTATTCAGACGTCAGCTGTAATCATAATATTATTTATCAACAGCGAAAGGTCAGATAAGGGCTTGAGCACACTGATTTAAACAGGGTGATTTCGTTATCAGTGTTCAATTTTTTTTAACAAGATCTATAGAAAAAATATTGAAAATGTAATTCACGGGTGTCCACTGTCCATATCTTAATTTGTAAAGGTTAAGGCTTATTTTCGCGTACTATTATGTCTATTAAGCTTTATAGTAAACTGTGTGTACGTATGTTTCTATGAAACGCGCGCAGCGGACAAAAATAATTAAATATGAAAAAAAAATTTTTACGTAAATAGATTAAGTTACTAATTCTGAGTCGCTCCTAAAAATTTTGATACTGATTACAAAATCACCCTGTATAATTGCTAGGGAGCAGCGAGTCGCCGTTCTCTTAGAGCGCTGTCACATTAGGGCGTTAGTAGCGCGACAGCAGCGCGGCAGTGGCGTTTTTATAATGAAGGCATCCGCTGTTACAGTATGAAATTTCCGGCAGCGCGTCTGTCGCCAGTTTGTCGCGCTGCTAAATCGCTTAAATGTGAAAGCGCTCTTAAAATGACAACTCTATTTTTCTGACATTAATAAAAATGTATACGTGAAGTGCAAAACCAGTCATTGTCCTTTTTGAGGAGGCTTTTGTCCACTAGTGGACGTCTTTTGGTTAAAAGTTACAGTTTTTTTTATTAAAACTGCAAATCAAACTTTGATAATAATCTAGGTCGCGGAAAGTACATGGATGCGAGCAGCACAGGACCAGTCGTTGTATAAGTCCTTGAGGGAGGCCTTTGTCCAGCAGTGGACGTCATTTGGTGAAAGGAACGAACGAACTACATAAACGTCCACGACTCCGTCTAAAAAAGCTTTTAAAATGTAGCACAAGCCCCCAGCGGGATCCAAACCAGCAACCGTGACTGATTCCATAATCCACAAAGTCTCAAGTGTGCGCAGATCCTGTACCCGCGAGGTTTTCTAACTTATTCGACTTCAAAGGCGGCTCTGTAATTCCCCGAATTGGTTCGCTCCGGGATAACACCGGCCTTTTAATGAAAACCTCGATGTTATCATTTGTATACAAATATTTGCTTTAATAACATTTTTTGTGATGCGGATTTTTATGTAGAGCTTGTTCTTCTTTTGGGTAGATTGTAATTGAAACTATTGAGGTCAAAGCGTGCCAGCTTATGATACGACTGATGTACGTTCGAGTAACTATCTTAATGAAATTCTAAGAAAGAATGAGATTATGTGGTGCGGTGTGCGGACCGATACGACTTGCAAGCTTTCAAGAAGAGAGCGTATCACCTGGGTCTGCGGGTGTCTATGGGCGACGGTATTCACTTACCATCAGGTGATCCGTCTGCTCGTTTGCCTCCTGTCACATAAAAAAAAATATCGCTTCATAGAAATGGTTCCACTATCCACTATCACGCCATCGTGTACCTAACAAGAGTATCTTTAAACGTTTGATACTAACTGATTTCTTTACGAGATCGAATCAGAAATGAGGAGAACTAAAGTCGCTGACATAACCCGTCGAATTAGCAAGCTGAAGTGGCAATGGGCAGGGCACATAGTGCGCAGAACTAACGGCCGATGGGGCAGCAAGGTTCTGGAGTGAAGGCCGCGTAACGGAAAACGCAGTATGATACATCATAAAGGAAAGGAAGGAGCTGGATGCAGACCGCTATACCAACCGGTCAATATGGAAGGCATTGGAGGAAGCCTATGTTGAGCAGTGGACGTCCTACGGCTGAAATGATGATGACGATTTACTGAGAACAAAGAAGCAATATAATCATGTAGATGCCATGCATATAAACTCTATCTTATATCTATCGCCAGCTGCTCTTAGCAATTAAAGTTAGGTAATAATATCAGCTACATTATGGACCACCTCGTCCATGATATGTATTTCAGTTCATAGTGAAGGGAATATTACTATGGCACAACACAAAAAGTCCAGCCAACTCATATAGTGTGAGCACGGGACTATTCCCACCGATGCAACTCCTGTGTAGCCTGGATCTACAGTTTGACAAACTTAAAAATCCAACCAGTGAAGGTCAAGTTTGTCCCGGGGGAAAGTGAAGCTATCATTGGACCCGCAACGAAATTAATCAGAAGAACATAGGAGCAGTAAAAGTTCTAGGCAGATTTTGTATGGACTCCTATTAATGAATCTATTGGCATGATGATTTCATCTATATACAGGGTGTTAGGTAAATGGGTATATGAGCCGACTCTAGCCCATGTTAACATGGTCATATAAATGGTATGGTGAAGTCAGAAAATTGATATCATCATTTTAATTTTTTTAATTTTTATACAAAATAAATTTTATAAAATCCGATTTGTATGAAAATAAAAATGTATATAAAAGAAAGTCGTGTTAGTTACACCACTTATAACTCAAGAACGGCTGAACCGATTTAGCTGAAAATTGTCAGGGAGGTAGTTTAGAGCCAGACGAAGGACATAGGATACTTTTTATGCCGTTCGAAATTAAAAAAAAATCTGCTTATTTATTGCCATTAAGGCGGAACAAAGTTCGCCGGGTCAGCTAGTTATAAATATATTCTTATGTTACGATAATTATTAGTTTTACTAGATGTTATACTTGCGTGTTCAGAGTAGATCAATAGTTTTAATAAGTATTGTATGAATACATTCATAAGATTATGTGGTGTGGCTGTTCCTTGTCGGGCTATGGTGAAGCTTTAATTTGAGTGAACACGGGTTAGAGTATTAACGCCGAAAATTAATGAACCAAATGTACACTAATTGCCACTTTCAAATTGAATGCTGGCCGTAATGTATGTAACTTAGACATTTTAGTGGAACCTCGTAGGCATAACTGCCAAGTTTTAAGCTGGAACATACTATTCTAAAACTGTTCCAGATTATTAAAATTTTATCACCTAAGTACCTTTACGCTAACACCACCGTCTAGTTAATTAGTAAAGACAATGTACAGTAAAATTTTATTGTCTCAAATAAATACTGAAAATATTTGTATTAACCTCATTGTTCGCTATGAATTAAATATATTTTATTCTTCGCAGTCCCAATTAATCAGTTTTAAATGTTATATTAGATACTTTTGGGAGGTCATAAACACTTGCGGGATACTTGCGGAAAGAGAGAGAGAGAGCTTGAGAAAATTGATGATTTATGACTTCTTTTGCCTTTTTACACATAAATGACACCAATAGGTTCTAAGCAGAATCAGAAATACAAACAAATTAATAGCGTTGGGGATTAACCCCGCTATCACAAAGTCAACAACCCTTTACACAATTCAGCAACAAAATATTCGAGAATACTGAAAAGCCCGTCTACCCACTAAAGCTGACTTCAAATCATATTAGGAATG